CGTTGCGGCGCTTGGGGGCCGGCACTCGTGGCCCGCGCGAGCCCGAGTTCGGAAGACGTTTACGGCTGAGGCGGCGCTTCGCCCGTTACGGCGCTTGCTAGCGGGTGGCGCGTGTTCCGTTAATTAGCACAGCCGCTACAAGAAATTGTACTGTCCCGAAGAAGGCTGTGAAGAAGACGTCAGATTAGCTTGGAAAAACCTCTGTCAGTTATGTTGTGCCATCATGTATTGTGCAGTGTGCAGCTTCTCTTCCGTTAATGAGAAAGAAATGCTAAATGAAATCAGGTTAGCCAGAATTATTACATGATAATTATACAATATATTATACAATATGTCTAATTATTATACACAAATTATTATACAAGACGTCTAAGGGCTGAGGCGGCGCTTCGCCCGTTACGACGCTTGCTAGCGGGTGGCGTGTGTTCCGCTAATTAGCACAGCCGCTACAAGAAATTGTTCTGTCCCGAAGAAGGCCGTGAAGAAGACGTCAGATTAACTTGACAGCCTGGAAAAATCTCTGTCAGTTATTATTAGTTGGGTCGTCATGTATTGTGCAGTGTGCAGATTCTATTTCGTTAATGAGAAAAAATGCTAAATGAAATCAAGCTAGCAGGAATTATTATATGATAATTATACAACATATTATACAATATGCCTAATTATTATAGACAAATTATTATACAAGCCGTCTAAGAACTGACGCGGTGCTTCGTCAGTTACGAGTCTTACTTTATTTATTTACGTCAAAAACAGTTAAAAACTCTGTATGACGTGCTATGAGGGTAAGTTAATCTGAAGTTACATATATGTCCAGAAGCAAAACAAGGGGCCATCTCAGCATTTGCTCGAGGATCAGGGAAACTGGACGAAAACCTGATCACGTTGGGGGTCATTGACCCAGAAGCTGAAGTACAATACTTTTTACAGATTCTTTACAATTATACAATCCAAATGATATATACTACATTAAATGTCATTTTAAAAATTAATATTACTTTCCTTTTGGATGCTCAGTATAGTCTCTAATTGTATAGAAACTGTTGTGCAGCAGAAAAGATTTTACTTGGGGCTTAAATGTTTGTATCGAATTTAATCGTTTAATGTGATTTTGCAAGGTGTTGTAAAATAATGTACATGTGTTATATGTGAATTTTTTGTAGTGAGCTGTTGATACTGTTACCTGATGAATGTGATTACTACATCGCGTGTTGTAGTTATAGATCGGCGTTTGTTGAAAATATATTTCCGCCCTTAAGTAAGTCATTTTTGACCAAAATCACTGATTAATATATTAAGAAACAAGGTAATGGTAAAATACCTAGATTAATAAAGAGAGGCTTACAAGATTCACGTGGGTGGGATTTTCTTATTATTCTTACATTTCGTTTTTGTAATCTAAAAGTCTGGGAACTATAAGATGTATTTCCCCAGAATATTATGCCATATCTCAGGCGGAAATGCTTGCGGAATGTGTTCCGTTAATTAGCACATGCAACAAGAAATTATACTATCCCGAAGACGGTCGTGAAGTAGACATCAGAGTAGCTTGACAGCCTGGAAAAACTGTCAGTATTAGTTGTGTCATCATGTTCTGTGCATCTTCTATTCCAATAATGAGAAAAATGCTAAATGGAATCAGGCTACCCTGAAGTATTGCACAGCATGTATAACAGCAAATGTTACGAATTTCTGGGGCGGGAGGAGCACGAAAGCGATCATTTTTGCCTGTGGTGAGAAATTTCATAATACGAGTTCATGTGAGATTTGCCCCTGATTGGTAGGCAATTCGTCAAGCACTAGTGTTAGGCGGGATCACAAACTATCTTTGTCTTAGAACAGGGGTGCCCAACTTATAAGGCCTCAAGGGCCACAACTACAACCATTAATGTGGTTGCGGGCCATGTTTCAATTACTCGGGCGATGCACACGTGACCCCGTGTTGTTGATGTCGGCAGTTCGCCAGTCTGTTGTGACGAGGGGGGGGGAATGAAATCATCAGTCCGTACCATAACTCAGTGAAACACGTTGGGATAATTTTGAAATTCTAATTTACTAGCACACAATTCCTTAAATCTAAACTTAACTCATTTTTACATTAAGGGCGTGATGAACCAGGCAGGCAGCGTACGCTAGGCTCACGTTCTCGCCATAGAGGATGCAAGTGACTCACGTTTGACTAATGTCTCTTCGCGAGCCACAAAAAATGGCATCGCGAGCAACATGCGCCCCGTGGGCCACCAGTTGGACAATCCTGTGTTAAAACATGACGCGACAAACATCAGTGCATGCAACGTTGCCTACTAATCAGCAGCAAATATCATATGGAACCCTCATGCATTACTGGCATAATTTTCTTACGATGTTTTGTGACAGATTTACAGTACCTCGATTTCCAAATTTGCTTCGGATAGAAAAGTTTGTTGCACAAGTGGCTCATCTACAATGTACATAAGTGGGTTCCATTTGTCTGGGACCTCAATTGCCCGCGCCGCTTGCAAGTTCTGAAATAAAGTATCTACCAAAATTATATTCAACTCTAGAAACAGCTGAAACCCCAATTATAAAAATGTGTTTTGTGTTCTTTGAATGAAGTTCAGCAGTCTTAATATATTCTCTTATTATATTTCTGCAAGTGACTGTGTTTTAAGTTTGTGCTGTAACTAATATATGACTAATTTGCAGGAAATTAGGTCTGTGATTTATACATTTCATATTACTGTCGTAAAGTAAATGTATAGTAGTATTAACAACAAAATTATTTTTCGATTAAAATGAAATCCAAATAAGCAATTTGAAAAGTTCAGAATATATAATACTCTAAAATATTAAGAAACCGTTTGAGGAATGGGATAGAACAAAAGAAGAAAATTGCATAACGACTTTAAAATATTAATTATTAAAAATCTCGTCGTATGAATGTTATTAAAAAAATCGTCCTATGAACTTCGACTCATTGTTAAAATTATTTTTTTATAAATTACATAGAAAAACATAAATCTGCAATCGTCGCAACGAAATATAGCCCAACACCATCATGTGCAGTTCTTTGAAAATACTCGTAAGCTTGAATTCATCTCAGTTTAAAATAAAACAAGTTTCGTTTATTGTATTTGTGAGGACAAATTATTGTGTGTGAAATTATATATGTATGGTATAATTGGAAGTGCAACTTACTTCAGTTATATAATACATCGTTGGAATCATCTTGTTCATACAATTGTGTTATGTATTTATTTATTTATTAAAAATTAGTAACTATGAGGATATGTGCCGAGGAAAGATGTTAAACATCCTATAAGAACATATTATAGTAACCAAATAGATTTATGATGAATAAAAGTATCGAAAATTCACATTTGAGTGCTCATTATCCTGAATGAGAAAACGAATGAAAAGTAAAATCGATATCATCCAAATAGAAACGTATTAGAAACGAACGTGTCACGTCAGAATAAAAGCCTCTGAAGAAAATTACACAATTTAGGTTGGGTTAAGTAAATCTCACCACCCATAATAACGTTAATTAATATATGTCAGTGTTTTTACTACCAGATATCTCCCTCTCGTATTATTTTTTATCTGTGTTTAGCAAAATGCATACACGTTTCTGTTTTAAAGAGGTTGCGTACGAAGTCGCGATTTTGAAGACGCATTTCGTCGCCTCGCGCACACTTTCGCGGCGAAGGAGCGCCGAGTAGCGGAGAGGAAGCCTTGGAGTTGAGGACAAGCGGAGGGCCGGCGGGGGTCGTTTATGGCCGAGTCCCGAGGCGCCGATTCGCGCC